CTGCAACAATGATTCATTGAATGGAATCTCAAGAAATATCACAGTGTTATCCCCATGATAACAAAAATGTTTTGTTCAGAAGACCTTTTACTCTTGCTGAGTACCATAAAAACATCAATATAAGAAGATGTTCTCCTTGGCTAGACTTTAGGTTTTGCCTTCCCTGATATTTGAGGGAGATTTAATAACATTTCATTTCAGCATCATCTTTGCCCTGTCCAAACCAGGTGACTGAGTCAGTTCTTCACATTGTACTGCAGTACTCATTTTGATGATGTACCTTGATGCTTCTGCTAGTTAATAACCTTTTGCAGATAAACCATGGAGAAAACAAACTTTGCATTAGTAAAATTGTGTAATAATGCTATTAAGAGTTGCTCGATTATGTTTGATTCTATTGCTATAAGTACGATACTGGTTTGGGTGATATCTGGTAACCAGGAAGACATTTGTATTTGTACTCTGTTCTTAAAATAGATTTTCATAGCCCACCACATTGTTTAATTTATCACAATTATTTTTTTTCTTTTTATTTTGCTTACTGAGTAAATTGAATTAATTATTCAATTTATGTATGTCTGAACATACATGCAGAAAAATTCTAGTTGGTGACCATAATTTTTGACAAGGGTCCTTTCTTCTTGCTGTTAGCCTTCCTGTAAAAACATAGTGCTTTGTATTTTATTGAATGTACTCTTGTACAAAGTTATTAATAGCTACTGAGACTAATCTCAGTATGAAAACATTAATTTCACTAGAGTATTATTTCTTGTTATCACCATAAGGAATAATTTCTTTTCTTAAGATGATGATTTTTGAAGTTTAATAAATCTAGTGTAAGCTAAATACATTATTGATTTGTCAGCTTCTTTGGACAAATAGCACTTGGCCAGATGGCCGTGTCTGCACAATAGACCAGATTCTACAGTTATTTACCAAAAGGCCACCAGTATGCAGGATGGCTGTTCTCTAAATCATAAAGTATGATATTTGTCAATAATAAATTCAACAATATTTTACTGAGGTACAGAGTCTAGAAGATGTTGATATGATAAAGATTTGGCACAACGAGTTAATTTAAGATCATAGACACAGATTTTGATGAGTTCTTTGTGCCAAAGGTTTTGGATTTAAGGAAGCTAAAGAAGAATAAACCCATTATTCTAAATCACAATGCCAATCTGTAAACCACATACCAAGTTCATCATAAAAAATAAAAACCTTACAAGCCACATTATCATTTAATAATATACAGAAGGCCATTTGAGGACTCCTAATGTTCAATTTTCGAAGAGTCTTTCAGTATCTGAGGGTAGAACTTACCTAGCCCAAGTGACTGTGAGATTCATAGATGTTTTATCCCTTAGTCTTATATCTCCACATTCTTGCAGGAAAAAAAAATGGTACTTGGTACACATCGGAACATTCCCCACTATAAAAAACCTGTTCCTAAGTACCTCAAATAAGAATTGCTACTGATTTTCTTTTTTTCTGAAGAAGCTGAAAGATGCCACCAACTTCCTAGCCTCAAAGGAGATTGTTACATTAATTATTTCTCCTTGGGATTTTAGTCTTGTTCAGAGTTTTTTTACTTTGGAAGAGTAGTTGAAATCCTTCTCAGGTAATGTATCCTTAGAGTCTCCAGGGTCACATTCAAGACAGATGATAACAAGTCACCTGTACTGACTATTGATATGGTTTGGGATTTTTTCTGTTGGTCTGGGTTTATCTTGGAATCACTTCCAGACGATTTCAGTGATCATTATTTTATTCCATTTTCCACACCTTTCAATCTTCAAAATGACCCTTATATGGCTGAAATAAGACCATGTCCATCCATGTTTTGAGGGCGGACAAGTGGGCAGACTTGGCATGTGTTACTGAGACCTGACAGGGAGGGTGTTGATGTTGTCTTCTCAGAAACTTGCCCAGCCAGCTTTCAGGCCTGTACCTATCTCAGTACCATATGGGTGGTATTGATTTGTCATCACACATTATCTTTGGCAAAGGTCACTGTTTGAGAATGGCTAGACATGTGTTTGGACAGGGCAAAAGGAAAGCTAGAGGTCCTTTGATTTTTTTACTGTTCTGGTGTTCCTTAGGATCCCTCCCTGAGCTCCTAGACCTGGTTGCCAGCTTGGCGATGGATGTCCTTTGCCTATAGGTTCTGGGGAATTTCAGTCTTTGGGTGGATGGGGCTTATGGGTTCATGGCCCCCATGAAAACCAAGGTCCTATCCCAGGTTTTCTCAACTATAGACAGTGACAAGTTAGAAGTTAGAGGTTGCTCTGTGACCTGGACATTGGAGGGTGTTTTGATCTACCTTTGTTCTGTCCAGATTCTTCCCTGGTCCAGAAATGTTTGGTTGTTGATCTCTGCAGGGTTGGGACCATTAGGATAGTCTACCCCAGATACCATATGGATCCATCTGGTTTCTGACAGGTCCTTGAGGATTTCCCTGAAGATTTTGTGGTTAGGTCAGTTGAGGGCCAGGTCTGCCACTGGTATGAGGTGGCATCTTGGGCCCTTGACTAAAATTGCCCCAGCAGCCTCTCTCTGCCAGTTGATCCCAATGGTTTGAAGAGATGGAGTGGCAGAAGTACTGGCTGAAGTGCAAGAGGAAACCAACTAAGAATGATTTGAACAAGCATGAATGGGTGCCTATGTTCAGGTCTTTTGGGTAGGGGCCATCCCATTGATTTATCACAACTAGGTGGTCCTCACAGAATCATGACACCAGGCTTGGCTGGTACACCAGTTGCAGGCTTACTTGAGATGGGAGGACCTGATTACAATAGCCCACATCCTCATGGTGGTGCCCAGTTACCTGCAGGACTGAAACTCCTCTCTAGAGTCAGCCTGACCACTTCAATCATTTCAGAAGGAGTAGCTGATTGTCCCGATCTCAGGGAGGTGGGGTGGAGCCCAAAAGCATTGTTTTTCAGGGATGGGGATCACCCCAACATTATTTGCTTTCCAGAAAAAAATTGAAAAGAATGCTTTTCTGGAAGAATCTTTAGCTCTGAAGCCATGTAAGTTTGGGTGGTTTAACTGTACTCATAAGGTTTATTATTATTGTTATTGTTATTGTCTTATTATCTTTGTGAGCTGTAGAGAGTCTTTTTTGACTGCAGCAAGATAGAAATTTGATAAATTAAGCAATCACCAGGGAAAGAAGTCTTTTGTATTATTTGGACACTAATTATTTGCCCTAACTGTAACATAATATGAAATATGTAATAATATAACCCATTAATTTCTGACTGGAAATGCACCTCCTCCACATTTCTATAAGAATGATTTTAGCTCGAAATGAATGGGAGATAAATCTTCAATTCTTTATTACAAAATCTTAATCAAGATAAATTGTTTTTCTTTTTGGCAGACAATATCACTATAAAATCACACTGGGCATTGTCTCACCTGAAGGTAAGAAAAGTCTTCCTGAAACATACAGAGAAACCCCCTGTATACAGGCAGGCAGGCAGTATAAGAGGACAATGGCCAGATTTTCTTCCTCAGGAAAACAATCTCATCATGATGTCACAATGGCTATCACTCTGATACTTCAGATTCAAAATCTGAAGAGCCTGACCAGGCAGACTCTCAGTCTCCACCTCAGGAAATAATAGAACAAAAAAAAAAGTAGACTGCAGAAAATACACCTTCAAGCTTTGGAAGGTGAGGGACAGCCTGAAGAAGCAAGGTCATGAGCCCTGAAATGTATAGGAACATTTTCCTGAAAAACCTAAATAAGGTTGCTGTTTTCATAGTCAGAGAGTTTAGATTCTTCAGAAACATGGTTTTTGGAGTTGGAAGAAAGCTGAGGGGAAAAAAAGTGCTATAGCTTGTCACAGGTGGGAAGCCTTCCAAACACGTTTGGCACCTTGTCACATGAAGCCCAAACCTCAATTTTTTTTTTCTGCCAAGGGAGGCTGATTTATTTAGCTTTGGATAACATTGATCCACTTTTTGGGAAGAAATGCCTGGAAAAATATTGTCTAGGATTAGAATTCATTTGCACAAGTAAAGTGAAAGATCTGAGAGTTCTGTGGTCTGGGTGTTTTGGTAGCCAGTTTCTCCAGGCAACTGTGGGAGAAATGCAGTTTTATAACTTAGCTCTCATTCAGTTGAAAATACTGAGACTTACTGAAAAATTTAATTTCTACTGATTTCTTTTTTTTTTTTAAAAAAAAACCTTGATGATAAAATCAATGCAAGGAGCATATCTTGGTATGGCTGGGAGTTCCAAACCATCCTGTTTACACTCCCTATTGCCTCACAAAGCAATTTCTATATGGCAAAATTATGCCACAGCTTCCTAAAAGTTTTAATATACATGTGTGTGTGTGTGTGTGTGTGCATGTGTATGTGTGTGTGTGTAAATAATACAACAATAAAACAAACCCTTCAAGCAAAATCGGTAATCAAACCAAAACATGTTCTATTGAGAGGGAATATGAAAATAACACCATTAAATTTGGACAATTATATTTGGACAACATAATTTCCATAGTTTGTTTCAAGATTATATTAAAAATGCAGGGAAAGTGAAGTCATGTAAACACATTTCTTTCTTTGTTTGTTTGTTTATTCATTTAATCAATTTATATAGCCACCCATCTCAACAAGTGACTCTGGGCAATAAACAATATTAAAAATAAAAATAAAGCAAAAATCATAAATATTATAGAATACATGAAAATTGCAGAGAAATTTCCATGTTCTGGTAAAAAAGATGAAAAATAACAATAACTTTTCAAATCAGATGTCTTTTCCAAAAGAAATCATTGATGGAAACCCAACAAGAAAGAGGCAGAACAAGCTCAGAAAAAGCTGGAGAAGAAGAAGAGTCAGTGAGATTTGAACACTTTCATGAAGCAAAGCAATTAAACCCTAGACCTAAACCATCATGATCCCACCTGAAATTCTTAGCCAATACTACTAAACAGAATACACCAAATTTGCATACTTACATTAAAGTTTGACTATCCAATGAATTAAAAAGAAATGGACAATTTCAAGTGACACATGCCAAAAATGATCACTTTATTTAAAAGCCGTCTCACGGCTTTGTGAATTTCTTTATTTCTTAAGGTATAGATTAGAGGGTTGACCAAAGGAGTCATGACTGTATAGAAAATAGAGAAGATTTTATTGAGGTGTCTCAAGGACGGTGTTTCTGGCAATGCATAGACAATGATTAATGTGCCATAAAAAAGACAAACCACCAGGAGATGAGATGAGCAGGTTGAAAAGGCTTTTTGCCTTCCAGTGGTGGACTGCATCTTGATGATGGTGGCAATGATGGAAATATAAGAAATGATGGTCAACAGGAATGGAGGAACTGTGAAAATAATGGCACCACAAAAAGCAAAGATTTCAAAGAAACTTCTATCAGTACAGGATAATTTCATCAGTGGGTGTAAATCACAAAAGTAATGGTCTATGACATTAGGCCCACAGAAGGATAACTGAGCCAGGAAAGCTGCCAGAATAATATTAACTATCAAACTATTTATCCCTGTCCCAGCCATAAGCCGAAAACAGAATTTCCTATTCATAATAGAAGCATACAGCAAAGGTCTACAAATTGCCAGATAACGGTCATAAGACATGGCAGCCAAAAGATAGGTTTCTATACTTCCACAAAGGCTAAAGAAATGATACTGAGCTAGGCATCCACTTAGAGTAATGGTTCTTTTACCAGTCAGCAAGTTGGCCAACATTTTGGGTAGCGAGATAGAGCTATAGCAAGTGTCTAAGCAGGACAAATTTCCCAGGAAGAAGTACATTGGGGTGTGAAGGTGCTGATCAGCAACAACAAGCAGAAAGATGAGGAGGTTCCCAGTTATTGTCATCAGATAAATCACCAAGAAGAACCAGAAAAGGAAAAGTTGCAGCTCAGGGAGGTTCCCCAAACCCAGAAGGATGAATTCTCTGATGCTTGTCTGATTTCTCTCTTCTATATCCAGCATGTTTTTCCATTAATCAAATCTCACATAAATTCTAGAATATATAACAAGAAAGATAGATTCAAATGCAAAATATAAAGTACTCCTTTTCTTTGGGTTTTTTGAAAGAATATACTAAGAAAGAAATTTGGTAATATTCATAATTATTCTATTCATATAGCAGGAAGATTAGCTCTACCTGGGATGATATGGATAAAAGCAGAAAAGGAGCCTGTTGTTCTCCCACCTTTTTATATAGTGCAGTTGCAACACTGGGTTTCAGACAGCTGTGCATTATATTACATTAACCATTTCTGTCTCCTCCCTCTCACCAACATACTTCCTAACATTCTTCTATTGTTTTCCAAGATATTTTATCTATGATTCCAAGTTCAAATATCTACATCTACATTGTAGGAATCCCTTTCCTGGACAATTATATGAAATTATCATTAACAGTTCTTGTGTTAGATATGCAGTGTACATTAAGTTCGCTCACCTCATTGTACCCTGCATTTTATTGTTTTAATACATTCATTTCTAAATAAAATTTGTAAAGGAATCATCCAGAACATAAAATTATTGATCAAAGAAGAACATGAGGAAGGTGATCCTGAAGTTAATCTTGAAATGTCTAGGCTAGAGAAATTATCAATCTGACTGGTACACTGAACACATTATATTTATTTAAGTAGAAAGAGATACAATTATTATGAAATGTGAAGGGAAATAATCTTGTGCCACATAATTTATATCTTATAAATATATAATAGGTTGACAATTAAATCATCAGTATAATTTTAGAGTCTTCAGAATCCAATAAATATTTTTTCTGAATCTTTCAATAAAATTTTACTAAGTATTCATAAAACTTTTTTTTTTTTTGGTCTAGATCATCTTCAAAAAAATTTAGTTGCATCCTTACAATTTCGCATCATTCATTAATATAAACAGAGGTCCAAATTTTGGCACCAGTGAAACTGGGAAGTGGATGTTTTCCTTAGGCAATCCTGAATCAATCTCTTCTACATACTATTCAAGAATATCAAGTGTGCACAGTAAACTGTATTTGAGGGTCATCTATGATGCAAGAGACATCCCCTAAGCCACATGTTTATATTCACTCAAGGACAGTCCCAAATACTTTTTTCTAGAAATCAGCTCAAGAAAAGAAGTTCAAACTCTTTTAATTAATCGGGGATGGGCTGTTTTATTCAATACATTAATGCATGATTTCTTTTAAACTTGTTTGCTGAATAAATCTCAGTGGCTGGGCTCCTATATAAGGGTAAACTATAAGCGATGATTTGCAGAGCACAAACATTGACTTCCCAGATCAAGCTGAACTAGTGATACCATGATATAATTTTACTTACTAAGCTCTATGAAGCCAACCAATATTTTAGTGAAAAAGGAACATTAGGAGAAGAGCATCATCCTTCCAAAATCCATGCAACTGTCCGAAATTTATTTGTAGCAAGTTACTGCTTTATTTGTTGATGTCCCAAAGAATCAGTTTATATTGTTGATGTCCCAAAGAATCAATTCTCATTTTTCCTCCAAATTATTGCTCAACGCAACTTGGAGCATTTTCTGCTATGAGATCAAAGTATTTCTAAAATAGCTTTTGATAAACATTTAAAATAATTAACCCTGGGAGATCTTTCTGGTTTTCTGATGCAATTTGATTACAAACCCCAAAGGAGATCTTACAGTAATATGGTAAAAAAAATATTGGGATTGCCCTGTTGTTCAGAGTTTGTTGATTCTGAGGAATGGTTGACCCCTTTGCAATATTATTTGGGCAATTCATCCTGAGAATCCATAGTCACATTCATGCACTAGTAATAAAACTAATCTATATCTTCTATTGCTAGCATTCTGAAAATTCTAGTTTATTTCTAATCCTGGGAAAAAGGCAAAAACTTCACCCTTTGCATATGCTCCAAAGATCAGATGGGCTGCCTCTAGGGACCAAATTTTTAGTGTTACCACCAGGTCCTGATTTTAGTTTGCATAACTCCTGGCATTATATCTTATTTCTTTCTGTTGGAATGTTGTTGTTTTTTTTAGAATTCCTTATTTTTCACTTGGAATTTTCTATGGGTTTATGGCAAGACATTGCTTTAGCAGCAGTACCTTCTGCTTCTCCATGTCTTCACCTATGTCTTTTAACTACCTGTAGTTAAAAGCCCTTGTTTAGTAACCACAATTAGGACCAGCATCTCAGTTGTTAAGTGAAGTGGTCACTAAGTGAAAAATCATGTGACCAGGACTGTGCTTATGATTTAATTTCAGCTGTCTTTTGCTTTATAGCCTCAGAAGGATACAACCCCAAACAGCTGGATGAGCCCAAATGGAGGGGAAGGTTTCTGAAACTCGATTCACAAGGAAGCTGGGTAAAAAGGATAAATCTTATAGCCCTTTTTCCCACTCCCCCATCCTTTGGAATGCTCCCCCCGTCCATGGGATAATTAGCAAAAAGAAAATTAATGTTGGTATTTACATTTATTGGAGAGGAAGGGATTACATGAGAGTAAGCAGGCATGCAATGGGGAATACACACTGAAAGGAATGCACTAGCACTGGTTGTTTGCCTAGTGCACTCGTGGCTATGTGCCCTGAGCTGCTTAGGAAGCAAAAATGTGAAATTGATTAGGGTCTTGTCAGTGTCAGGCAGCAACCTGACCTGGCTGGAGGGTTCTAATCAACTAATTAAGGTCACAAAGCTGAGCTTGTTAACTTGTTAACTGTCTGAGGCAGTAGATAAACAAGGACTACCTGTACATATCTCTTCTGTCCTGATGGAAGCAAGTCACCATGCCTCCCTAACTGACTAGATGAAAGTGGGGGAAAAGAAGAAGTATGCTTGGTCAAATTCAGGGAAGCTAAGCCCCAGCAAAGTAGCAAAACAACTGAAAATCAGTACACTAATCCCATCTTCAAAGACCAACAGAGTAAGTGGGGATAATTTCCTTTCTTGAAGTAATCACTATGGTCCTCTTGAACCAGCTGAAGCTAAACCTTGATCTTTATCAACTGATAATGAACCCTATTATCTTTCTCCCTCAAACACCAAACCTAATAGGTTCCCAAAGAGCTACAGAAAGCCCATTTCACAACAGCCTTCTTTAGCACCACCCTTTCGTGCTGAAATGTTGGCTAAACAATGAACACGGGTGGCAGAAACCATGTCTTCTATTTACTCAGGCTTAACTTCCATCATCAAAAAGCTTGCTATGCTGCATCCCTTCGCCCTGTAACAGTGCATAGTCCTTCAGGTCCAACAAACGTTAATCCACTCCCTTCTAGGAAAGGGGGATAATTTCATTTGCCAGCAAACAGAATTTCCCTGCAGTCCCCAACATGAGTGCTGCATCCATGTGTCTACCTCAACAAATCAAGTCTCTCTTGTTATCAGAAATAACAAAACAAACAAGCACAGATGGACCTCTTGCAAAACAGTCATTTTTTTCTCTGAGCCAGTTTCTACATATTCCAGTTCCACAACTGAACTTAGAAGTAAGAGATTAGCTTTCTGCTCCACAAGACAGTTGCAAAATTGTGCTCAAACTGAAAACCCCAATTATTCCGCTTATGATATGGCAAAGGAAGGAATGCCTTGTTCCAAATTTAACAAAGATGAATTTTTGCTGATTTGTCTGTCAAGCCTCTGCTTTCTGCCCCTGAATGCTGGTGTAATGCCAAGCTACATAGCTGTAAATGCCATGCTATGGACCCCGTTATCTTTCTTCCTCAAGGCGCCAAGCCCAGTAAGGCTCCTGAACACCTACAGAAAGCCCATTTCTCAACAGCCTTCTTTAGCAGCACCCTTTCATGCTGAAATGCTGGCATGAAGATATAGGGCTGACCAAAGGATTCATGACTGTATTGAAAGTAGAGGTGGGTATTTTGGGAGTTATTGTTTTGGTTTAATTTCTTTGGTAGTTAGCATAGCATTTTTTCTTTCTTTCTTCACTTTATTTGTCTATATATAATACATTAGGTACATGCTCCAAATGATAAAATGATAATATTATACCTTTATTATTATATTGCCACTTAGTTTTTATGTAAAATCATAGTTAACCTTTTTAAAAGAAATGTTAATTGTAATGATATTGAAGTTTTAAAAATAGGGAAAAAAAAGAATTGTTTTGAACTATGGCAGACAATATCATTCATCTTGAGAGAAGCTAAACTTGAATGAAATAATAATGTTCCTTCTCTTTACTTTTCGAGTGCAGAATCAGCATCAGGTCATAAGGGTTGTCTCTCCAGCCAGGTCAGGCATCTTTTGTTGTGGGCTGGTTGTCAACAAAAGTACAAAATTGGGAACTAGACATGAAGCCTTAATACATATTCCTAGTGATCAATAATATTGTGCAATTTCACAAATAAGTGCTTGATTATAATGACCCCCATACTCCATACTTTTTCTTAAACTTTCATCATAGTATCCAAAATGAAAACATTTTAAAACTCCTTCTTGACCTGCTGTGCCTTCTGGAGTTTTCCAAGATTGTCCAAGACAATTTTATTATTGTTATTAGAAATAATAGTACTTAAATTTATTCTAAACTATCATGGATGGCTGTAAATATAACCGATACAGTTCCAAAACTTGGCAAACTAGAAGGATGAAGTTGTCAAGAACATTGGAGTATTTTCTTGTAAAAATTCCTAAACAAAACCATTATGAACACACAAAGGAAACAGTAATGCAAACGTTATACAGGGGACAGAGACAGCAAAAGGATTTTAAGAAACTGATGGACTGTGAAGATGAAAACTATCAAAAATTTGGCATGTCTGATGCTAATTGGAAAGAAAAGTGGTAATTATTATTGGAAGGCTTTCAAGAAGCAGCTAAGGAAAGCTAAGAGTTGGAGGATTTATTGCTGGGCACTTTTAGTTCTGGAGTGTGACATTAGGCAGCTGTATCTCACTTCCAGGATCCCACTCAGAATTTCCAACCCATGCTGATTTAGTAAGACCTAGGAAAACTTAATGGCATAAGTTATTGGAGCAGGATTAAGCCACCAACATGGAAGATTTCAACTTGATTGACATGTTCCACGAGACACATTAATATTACATTCCTGAAAGGCAAACCTGGTGATTTTTGGATGTCTGATTTTCACAATTTATTGCAACATTGAAAAGTCAGTATATAAATTTAGTGGCATTGCCCCTAATTTGCAAACATCATGAGAAAAATGTAAAACAGACATTAGAAGTCCCCCTCCCCATCACTTCATCACCAGCTTAACATCCTTACAGTCTTAGAAGAAGCAAAACAAACAAAATACAGATGCTCTGACTCTAAAAAGGAGCTATCTCTGATTTATCAACTACAATATGTTCCAAATGCTTTATAAGCATGTTTATGAATATTCTCAATTAGCAAAAGCAGCAGGGGGAGGGGGAGTTAGAAACCAAATAGACTTTTTTTTCTTTTCCTCTTCCTCTTCCTCCTTCTCCTCCTCTTCCTCCCCCTCCTCCTTCTTTTTTGCATTTAATGATTGTCAAATTTGCTTTGTTCATTTTTTTCCTTTCTTTTTTTCAACATGCACACATAATATTAAGTAATCAGCTTAAGGCAGAAACCTTTATTGTACAACAAATATGTTGATGCATTATGGAGTGTTTCTTTAATGTTATATTCAGTTCTGGAGGAAAAATTTAAATAATGTTATGCTCATTAACATTGACATTTTAAATCATAATTAATAATACTTCTCTCTCTTTTTATCTTCAATGGTTTAAGTTATCTAAAGATTAGCGTGTAAATAATCTTCAGTCAATACTTTACAAATACCACTGTATTGAAATAATATAATGCATTATGTGTGTTTTATAGCAATATAACAAAAAGGGGGAACTATGTTCAAAATACCCACTACCTACTGTAAATAGAAGGAAAAACTTCAGATTATCTGTCTTCCCACCAAAAAAGTCAATTTAATGAGAACCCGCCTTAAGGCTTGGTGAACTTCTTTATTTCTTAAAGTGTAGATGAGGGGATTGGCCAAAGGAGTCAGGATAGTGTAAAAGATGGAGAAGATTTTATTAAGCTGTCTCAGAGTTGGAGTGTCTGGCAATAAATAGATTATGATAATTGTACCATAAAAAAGACAAACCACTGTGAGATGAGAGGAGCAGGTTGAAAAAGCTTTCTGCCTTCCAATGGTGGATTGCATTCTTGCAATGCTGGCAATGATATAAACATAAGAACTGATGGTTAGTAAAAATGGAGGAATGGTAAAAATAAAGGACAGGAGAAGAACAATGAGTTTAAATAGTGTGGAATCACTGCAAGTCAGTTTTTCAAGAGGGGTTAGTTCACAAAAGTAATGGTCTATTGCATTAGATCCACAGAAGGAAAACTGAGCTAGCAGAAACACAACAATGCTATTAACTATCAAACCATTTATCCATGCACCAGCCATAAGCTGGAAACAAAACTTCCTGTTCATAATAGAAGCATAAAACAATGGGCTACATATCGCCAAGTAACGGTCATAAGACATTGCTGCAAGGAGAAATGTTTCTATACCTACACAAGAGCCATAGAAATAATATTGGGATAAGCATCCACTCACAGAAATAGTTCTATCTCCAGTTAACAAAGTGGTCAACAGTTTTGGCAAGATACTTGAAGTATAGCATGTCTCCAAGCAGGACAAATTTCCCAGGAAGAAGTACATGGGGGTGTGAAGGTGTTGGTCTTCTACAACTAGCACAATTATGAGGATGTTTCCAGTTATTGTCACAAGATAAATCACAAGGAAGAACATGAAAAGAAAAGGTTGGAATTCACTGGAATTCCACAAACCCAAGAGGATGAACTCTGTGATGCCTGTCTTATTCTCTTTCTCTGCATCCAACATTTTCTCAGGTCAATAAATGCCATGCCAGAGTTAAAATATAATCAGGAAATAATGGATCTGAGTACTTGAATGGATAACTTATAATCATGAACCCCAACTTTCTTTTACAATGGAGCCTATAGCCCACACAGAATTGAAGATCTCAACCAAATGAATCACAAGGACTCTGCATCTCTCAATTTTTAGCTAATGAATAAAATTGTCACAATGATTATCATAAGAAGATTGTACTTTCTCCTCCAGTTTGTGGACATTTGAAGTTCTTCCTGGAGAAAAAAAGAGAGAATTATAAGAAATATTCTATCAGTCTCTTATAACATTTGAGACATCAAGAGTCACCCAAAATAAAAAATAAAGCAAAGATAGGAATTCCATTTTTTGTGGTTTTCAGGGACAATAGCAATGTTAGGAATGATACTAGTTTGCTATTTCTCAGTCATCCAATTCCATTACTGAGGAGTAAAGAGATGGCCTTGAAGAAGGCATTCAAAAGTTGTTGTATAAACACTAGGTTAGCCCTGGAAGCGGGGGGGGGGGGGGGGAAAAATAATTCAAGATTAACCTCCCCTATTTCTCTTAGTATGGGGAAAGAGAGAGAGAGAGAGAGGGAGAGAGAGAGGGAGAGAAAATGAGAATCTCTGCCAGGCTTTCAAAATTATGTTAATATACCCTGTAATAATAGAGTTCTAGTAGTCCTTGTGGGGTCTGTTTCCAACCTGTCCAGCTTCACAAGGCCTCCAGCAGCCTTAGAAGCCTGAAAGAGATTCTCTCTCTCCCTTTCTCTCTCTCCCTTTATTAAATACTATTCTGTACTATTCTGTACAAAAAGTTAAACTCATTATGTCTAATAACTACAGAAACTATCCCTAATCCCAGCTCAAGAATGAAGGCATTAGAATATCATGTCTGCACATAATCATGTCTGCACACAGCAGATCAGATTCTCCAAAACACCAGTGACATGAAGGAAGGGTCTGTTTTCTACATGAGAAAGCAAGAAAATTGTCAATAATAATTTAAAAAAAAAAAGTTACAGAAGGGCAGTGCCCTAGAAAACACAGATATGTAAATGATTTGGCACACTCACCTAAAATAACAAATTAGATTTTTGTTTTAGCTCCTCATTTAAAGTTTTCGACTAAGAAAGCCAGGCACATCAAGTGGTTCCCCCAGAAACCACATACTGATTAAGATCATGCATCATAGTAAACAAAAACTTTACAAACCATATTTTCACTTAATGAGATATGTGAGATTATTTGATGTCTTAATGTTCCAATTTCAAGAAAGTTATTTTAGGTGTGTGAGGCTAGGCCTTACCTGCCACAAGCGATTGTCAGATTTATAGATGTGCCAGCACTCACAAGCACTTGGTACACACAGAAACATTCTCAGCTGTCAAAATACTTGTCACTAAAATATCTTTTTTATGTATTTCAAAGTGATCCAGTGAGATTTGCTACTGATCTTCCAATTTTTCTGAAGAAGCTGAAAGATCTAATCAATCTCCTAGCCCCAAAGGAGATTTTTACAGTAATTAATTATTTCTCCTTGGAGATTTTATCTTGTTCAGGACTTATTGCTTTGTATGTGTGTGTGTATATATATCTATATGTGTATGTATGTGTATGTATGTGTATCTTATTAAAGATATATTTTTATGAAGGTAAATGATAAACACGAAACAATGTAGAAAAAAGAAGGAAGGAAGGAAGGAAGGAAGGAAGGAAGGAAGGAAGGAAGGAAGGAAGAGGTACAAAAAAGAAAGCAGAAAGAGAGAAAAAGAAAAGGAAAAGAAAAGAAAAATACTTAAAGAAGCGACTTCTGGTCTTCTTTACAGCAGTTACAAGCATACTTAATACCATTTCCCTCCTTCTAAATTACTTACCATGGTTTCCTTCTCCCCATGTTCAACCCTTACTAATTGGTAAATACAGAAATCACCTGTTCATTTTTATCCATTTTCAGAAAGAAGTCCATAAAGGGTTTCCAGTCTTTTATAAAAGTATAACTTATAAAAGTTTCATCATTCTCCTTGATGAAACAAGTCAGTTTAGCAATTTCTGCAAGTTCTGCCATCTTCAGAATCCATTATTCCATTGTGGGTATTTCTGTATTATTCCATCTGTGTGTATATAATAACCTTTTTATGATAGGTGATATATGGTTTTACCATATATAAAACCAATCATCCATGAGTCTTTTCTAATTGACTGTCCACAAGTCCTAGTAAGAAAAATTCTGGTTTCATTTGAATGTTAATTTTGAAAACTCTGCATCATCATATGTATTTCTCTTCAATATTTTTTCATTTTTTCACAAGTCTTCCATGCATGGAAAAATGTCCCTTCATGCTTTTTACATTTTGAACAGCAATTAGAAGTATCTTTATATATCTTAGATAATTTCTCTGGTGACATATACCAACGGTACATCATTTTATAAAAATTCTGTCTTAAATTATAAGACAATGTGAATTTCAATCCTTTTAATCACATTCTTTCCCAGTGTTCCATCTGTATACTGTAACCAAAATTCTTAACCCATTTCATCATGCACTCTTTAACCTGTTCTTTGTCCATTTCAAGTCTAAACAGAAGTTTATACATTTTAGCAATTATGTGTTCATCATTTGTACATAATTCCATTTCAAATTCCGTTACACGTTGTTCTATACCCAGTAGCTTTTTACCCTTATTAAACCTCTCCTTTAATTGTGCATATGAAGACCACTGAAAAGTAAATCCCTCTGCAGCCAACTGTTCTCTTGATTTCATCTTAAGTTCTCCATTTTCCTGTATTAGCAAGTTTTGATATCTTAACCATTTTTCTTTACCTGCTGTTTCTGTTGCATAAAATGCTTCTTGTGCTGAGGCCAAGTAATGGTACTTTCAGGCACAGCCAGAGTTCATATCTGTTCAATATTCTTAATATGGCATTCCTAACATAGCGATTTTTAAAGTGTACATTAACTTTAACTTTATCATACCATAGGAAACCATGCCACTCAAACCGCAGTTTGTGCTCTTCTAGCTGTAACATTCTTTTATTTTATTTTTTCATTCAGACCAAACAGCAGGATGCAAAATACAAGTCTGGAAGTCCTAATCCTCTTTCCTTTGCATCCTGAAGAATTTTATATTTAACTCTGCCCTGCCATATACATCTGGATATATCTTTTTCCCATTGTTTAAAAGGTGCATCATTTCTCAAAACAGATATTGTCTGAAATAAAAACATAATCCGAGGTAACGCATTCATTTTTACCACTTCCAAATAGTGAACTGTAATTTTTTCCCACCTTAATAAATCCTTCTTAATTTCACTCCATTAATTATTTTGAAATAACATCAATTCATATTAGTCTTAACAATGCCCAAATATTTCACTTTTTTGTCAACCTGAAACCCAGATTTTACAAACAATTCTTTATGACTTTCTATCTTCAAATTCTTTGTCGACATCTTTGTTTTCTCCTTATTAATTTTAAAACCAGCCAGAGCACCAAATTCTCTGTTTTTCCATTAATATATCTATTCCTTGTATGGAGTTTTCCAGAATTAAAACCAAATCATCCACAAAAGCCCTTAATTTATATACTTCTTTTTTTAACTTTCACTCCAGCAACTATTTTGTCTTATTTTATATCTCTATTTAAAACTTCAAGAGCTAGAATGAATAACAATGGTGAAAGTGGGCATCCTTGCCTCGTTTCTTTCTGTATTTTACATGGTTTAATCAGCTCCCCACTTATGAATATTTGTGCAACTTGTGAAGTACATATCGATTTCACCCATGTAATAAGATTCTCCCCCAAATCCATACCTTCCAAAATCTTGAACAAAAAAGTTCAGATTATCAAAGGGCTTCTCCATGTCAAAAAATGTAAACACAGCTTGTTTTTCATACTGTTGCTCCAAATATTCTTTTTTATATAATTTTTATTGAGTTTCAGAAAAAAAGTAAAATACAGAAAAATCAAAAAGAAGAAAAAAATAACAAAAGAGAGAAAAGTACAGAAAAAGAAAAAGAAAAAGTAACTTCTGACTTTCTTTGGTACAGGCATAGGTATAAAATATGTTCCCCTCTTACTCTAATATCTAAAAATTCACATAATAAAAGCTATCCTTTGCTCTAACATTGAAAAAGATTACAAAATTAGTCTATATCAACAAGAAATATAAAAAGAGTAATACAAGATATTGCTGAAGTTATGGAATAATTCAATCATCAAAACTTAAAATCAAAATTTCATTTTTTTGTGTATCAAGTAAAAAGTCCAAGAGTGGTTTCCAAATAGAAACACAACTGGACAGTGTCCTTTCTTTGATCAAAGTAGTAGGTGTTGCCATCTCTGCCATTTCCATTAATTTCAATATCCATTCTTCAGCTGTAGGTATTTGTAATCCTTCCATTTTTGTGCATCTAGAAGTCTCGCTGCCATTATCATATAAAGAAACACATTTCCATATGTTCTTTCTATCTGTTTATCCATCATACTAAAAGAAAGGTCTCTAGTTTCAACTGTATATCCATTTTTATTTTTATTTTTTTAATCAAAATACATATCATGTCCCAATATTTCTTAGCTTTTTCACAGGTCCACTATAAATGATAAAAAATGCCTTCACACTGATTGCATTTCCAACATACATTTGAAATTCTTTTATACATCTTAGTTTATCTGGTGTCAAATACGAATGGTACATCATTTTATAGAATTTTTTCTTTTAGGTTATAATTAAGAGTAAACTTCAAACCTTTATTCCACATACTTTCCCATTGGTCCAGCATTATGTTATATCCAAAGTTTTTTGCCCATTTAAACACAATCTTTAACATATTCCTCTTTCAAATTAATCTTTAACAAAAAATTATATATTTTATCAGTAAGATGCTCATCATTAACACATAAAGCATATTCAAATTCTGTTTTCTCTGAGGTAAATTCATAACTTTTCTTATCCAATTTAAATCTTTCCAACAACTGTGCATAGATAAACCATTGGCAAATATAACCTTCCAATTCTAATTCTTCTCTGTTCTTCAGATTAGGCTCTCTGTCAGAAAACAATAAAAAATTTGCATATGTCAACCATGGTTGTTTAGGTGTCATTTCTCTTCTATAGAAAGCTTCTTGGGGTAACAACCACAAAGGGATTTTTGGAGACAATCTTACCTTGTATCTGTTCCAGATTCTGAATATGGTACATCTAATAAAATGGTTCTTAAAATCACTATTAACTTTTACTTTGTCATACCATAAATATCCATGCCATCCATATCTTAAATCATGTCCTTCTAGCTCCAATAATTTCTTGTTTTTTAAAGTCACCCACTCTTTCATCCATACCAGACAAGCATCAAAATATAACTTTAAACCTGGAAGGCCTAACCCAACTCTTTCTTTAGCATCCTGTAAAAGTTTATATTTTATTTTTGGTTTTTTATCTTGCCATACAAATTTAGAAATATCTTTTTCTTTTTTTTTTTTGCCATTATTTAAATGGTACATCATTTGTCAATATCAGCTTGACCATACTGCATTGGTCAAGCAGACAGGGACATGTTCAGTAGCATTCCAAGAGCAAGACCCCAAACATACAAATTGGGTTTCATTTATCACAAGAAAGCGAGGAAATACAAATGTGTGAATACATGGTTGGTTACAAAGCATTGCCATATAGGGTAAGCACTTTCTCAAAGTATGCATGTGCAACACATATTCAAAAAATTTTCAGTAACTCTCAGCCACTTCTTTAATACATCTTGTGAAACTATGCTACGTGCTTGCTAGGCAACAGCTACTAACTAATTTCTTCCACAAAATCTAAGTTCTTTTGTAGCTCAGGAACAAAACTCGTGTGAGTTTCCCACCATTTTTCACCACTTACAATCCAATGCATGGAAAATTTTGATCACTAAAGAAGTAACAAGTTTATATATAAAAAGAATATTTCAGATATATATAACAATAAAACAAAATCAGTGAAAATAAATAAACATAGCAAAACATGTTATAGTAGTGGAAATATTTGTTAAAAAAAGAAACAGCCACAAAGTGTGAAACAATTATCAATACAATTCAAACACAATTTCAGTGAATAATTTATTTTAAAATTATATGAAAAGTCTATGGAAAGTCAAGGTATGGAAACACATTAAAAATGTGTAAATATTGTAGAACAAGTAAAAACTGCAGAGAAATATCTAACTTCTGCTAAAAAGAATATCAACAACTTTTCAAATCCACTTTAAAAGAAATTATTGAAAGTGATAGAAAAACAATAAGAAAGAGGGAGAACAAGCTCAGAAAAAGCTGGAGAAGGTGAAAGGTCAGTTGGATTTAGACTCTGTCATGAAGCAAAACTATTAAAGTCTGTTCCAAACCTGATCCAAGCCCAAACTCTCAGTCAGTACTACTAAACAGAACAGAAGTTTATAACTGACAACTGATTCTTCTGTTTTTGTTAAAATTTGATTACCAATGAACTGAAAAGAAAATGACAGCTTCAAGTGACAAATGACAAAAAAAATATCATTTTATCAAAATGTCGTCTCAGGGCTTTGTGAACTTCTTTGTTTCTCAAAGTATAGATAAGGGGGTTAACTAAAGGAGTCATGACTGTATAGAAAATGGAGAAAATTTTATTGAGGTAACCTAGGGAAGGGCTGTCTGGCAATGCATACACAATGAATAATGTGCCATAAAAGAGACAAACTACCATGAGATGAGATGAGCAGGTTGAAAAGGCTTTACGCCTTCCTGTGGTGGATTTGACGTTTATGATGGTGATGATGATGCAAATGTAAGAAGTGAAGGTCAACAGGAACGGAGGAATTGTGAAAATGATGGTCATGCAAAAAGTAAAACGTTCAAAGAGACTTGTGTCACTACAAGACAGTTTCATCAGTGGATATAAATCACAAAAGAAATTATCTATGACATTAGGCCCACAAAAGACTAACTGAGCGACAACAGCGACAAGAATGACATTAAATACCAAACTGTTTATGCCTATTGCAGCCATAAGCTGGAAACAAAATCTGCTGTTCATAATAGAAGCATACAGTAAAGGTCTACAAATTGCCAAATAGCGGTCATAAGACATGGCAGCCAAAAGGTATGTTTCGATCGATGCACAAGTGCAGGAGAAATGATATTGGGCTAGGCATCCACTCACACTAATAGTTCTCTCACTGGTCAGCAAGTTGGCCAACATTTTGGGCAAGAAGTTGAAGCTATAGCAAGTGTCCAAGCAAGATAAATTTGCCAGGAAAAAATACATTGGGGTGTGAAGATATCGATCAGTCACAACTAGCAGAAAGATGAGGAGGTTTCCAGTTATTGTCATCAGATAAATCACCAAGAAGAACCAGAATAGGAAAGGTTGCATCTGAGGGAGATTCCCAAAACCCAGAAGAATAAATTCTCTGATACTTGACTGGTTTTCCTTTGCTATGTCCAACATTTCCATGAAATTAAATATCACATAAATTCTAGAATATATAACAAGAAGGAGACAAGTTCAAATGTGAAAGTATAAAATACCCGTTCCCCTTAAGTATTCAAAAATGGAAGAAGGACAAGAATATCCTGAGAATGTAGGTAGCTGATGTTCATCATTATTCTCCTCAGAAAACAGGAAGATTAGCTAGCTTGGTATGATGTGCCTAAAAGGAGGAAAATTACCCCTTGTTCTCATACCTGGAGATGAGGAGATGAGGCACTCAAGTTATGAGAACTGCACATTACAGTACATGAGTTAAGCACATTTCTATTTTCCTTCTCCTTCCTATCAATATTCTGTTGTTTTCCAAGATATGTTTCTCTATGAGGTAGGTGTGTGAGCCTTCAATTTTTTGGAAAAGGTTTGCCCTTGCCTCCTTTCTAGGGCTGAAAGAGAGCAACTGGCCCAAGGTCACCCACCTGGCTTTATGCCTAAGGTGGGACTAGAATTCATGGTCTCCTGGTTTCTAGCCTGATGCCTTAACCACTACACCGAACTGGCTCTCTTAAATGAAATAGGTAAATCTACCATATTGGATCACTTTCCTTGAAAACTATATGAAATTGTCAAAAGCACTTGCAGTGTTAGTTATGTACAAATTGACTATGCTTGTGCATCTGGTTGTCTCTCCACTCCCCACACTGCATTCCATTGTTTTAAATAAAACTGTTTGAAAATAAAGCTGCTCTTTGAATCAATCAGAAGATAAAATCTTTGATCAAGGACAGCACATGGGGAAAGGTGAGTTTTCATCCTAACATGACTTCTGCTAGAGATATTGTCAATCTGTCTGGTACATTGAAGACATATTTATTTGATATATGTTTCAAATCCAGTGCAGCATACTTACAGTTCTTATGAAATCAGGAATGAAATAATTTTGGCTTCCACATATGTTTTATCTCATAACTTAACATATAGAACATTAATATATTGAAAAGATTGGCAAATAAATCATGCATATAATTTTGTAGTCACTACACGCCAATAATATTTTTCTGGATCTTTAAACAAATGTCATTAAGTACTCACAGAACTGTCTTCTATTTATTTGTTTAGTCCACCTCTGAAACATCTACACTTTATCCTTACAATTTCTCATGGTTAAGGTAAGCAGTGGTCTATATGAGTACAGGTGTGAAATTGAGAAGTAAATGTATTGCTTCACGAAGAAGAAATGTATTCCTTAGGCAGCACTAATTAATGTCTACAGATTGTATTGTTAAAGAAGATCAAGTGTGCACAGTAAAACATATTCTAAGTCATCTGTGATGTAACGAGATACCTCTTTGCAAACATCCAAATGTTTATGTTCCCTGAAGGATAACACCAAATATTTTACCAAAAATGAGCTCAGAAGAAAAAGTCCAAACTGATTGGATTAATAAACCCTGGACTGCCTTTATATAACACAAATGAATGGTTTCTTCTTAAGATGTCCTGCTGAGTAAATCACAGGGGCTGTACTGATGCCTAAGAATAAGCTATACATTATGTTTTGTGAACTGCATAAACTGAGCTCCCAGTTCAGGCTGAACTAAAATGATATCGAGCTATATTTTACTATGCTCTATAAAGCCATTCAATATTTTAACGTAAAAGAACATCAGAAGAAGAACATCATCCTCCCAAAATCCATGAGAATGTTTGAAATGGAAATTTATCTTCTGCAAGATATTGGTTTGTTTAACACATGTCCCGATGAGTCAATACTGTTTTCCTCCCACTTACAGCTCAAGAATCTGCCCTCTAGGTAAGTTGGAGTATTTTGTACTATGAGATGGAAGGGTTTCTAAAACAGCTTTTCAAAAAATATATGCAATAATTAACCCCAGGAGATTTATTGCTGCTTTTTCTGATGCATTTCATTTATGAATCCCCAAGAGACTGTTGTGTTGCTCAGAACTTGCTAATTCTGAGGACTGATTGACTCATTTGTGGTACTACTTGGCAATACACCCTGAGAGTCCATAAGGTCACACTCATGCACTATAATGAACTTATTGTATAACTTCTATTGTTAGCATGCTGAACACTCTTGTTTATCCCTATCCCTGGGATTATATCTTATTATCATATTTTTCTCTTGTCATTTTCTTATTTTTCTCCTAGAATATTCTGTGAATTCAAAAATTCCATATTTCTTTTTTGAATATTCACTGAAACCTTGAGTATGTAATCAGCAGCAGTGAGATATAATGATCAAGGAGTGGGTCTCTGTGTTCTATGCCCTGAGGGTGATGATGATGATGCTTCTGAATTTACACATTCTGAGTTTACTCTCTGTAAATCTTTAAATATTCATCTTGCAAAAGTTCAGAACTTCATGTCTGAGAAAAAGGATGTGATGCCACCCCTTTTGATTTATTCAATGGAATTGGGGTCAGTGAGTCCAATAATGGACA